TATAGATAGTATAGCCTTATCTCAAATTCAAAGCCATTTTTGGTTGTTTTCTTTTTGATGGCAGTTAAAGCCCTTTTTTCAAAGTCCTGGTTCTGGACTGGTCTTGGTTCAGTTTGGTTTTCCACCAGAGAAGAGCGAGTGCTGGTAACCATAGCAACACACTGTTTACTGTCAGTTAGTTAGCATTAGCGTTTCGACAAACTGTTTTTGCTGTTTTTTAACCATTTCTAGCACTCAACAAGCTTAATAATTTACTTATAATTTACTTACTTTTAATATATTTGGTGAAAACTACTTTGCTGGGGAATTTTATTTGAGTGGCAGCAGTCAAAATGACGGCTCTGGGAGTTCTAACCTATTATTCTCTTAGTATTTGGTCAAATCTTTGTTAGATCTTGCCAATGTTGTGCGACAGAGTCTGGTCTCCTGTTTTCTGATATTATAATAAAGTTTCAGTCCTATAAAAAAGGAGGGTGTGAGAGATGACCGGAAAAATATCATGAAATTCAAATGATGATCTTATCAATTGTCCAAATTTTATAACAAGTTCTCAATTCACTCTATTATTTAAATTCGTCTTTAAAATGCTGTGATAATCAGTCGCTCTTTGAATAAAATGCAATTTGTGAGAGAATTTGTTATATCTGTCACAGATATTCACAATTAGCCGCGGTAATTATTTGATAGTTTCTGCAATTATGTCTTAAATGGTTAAATTTGGAGCTGTGTGGAAGCGTAATTGGCCTAAATGCATTATTTTACATATTTGCATAATGAAGAAATTGGTAGAAAATTGTGTTCATTCATTTGTGAAAGATCTCATGAATTTTATGAATGTGAAAGGTCTGTTGGTGCAGGCGGTGACTTTGCAAGTTGCTCCCAGAGGAGAACAAGGGAAAGTGGGGCACAGGCACCAGGCCAGATGTGAGAACAGAGGTGTGCAGAGTTTTTACAATGAGGATCTACCTCTGCTTTGTACTGAAACACACATATACTATTATAAAACAACATATATGTATTCATCAAATCATATTTAAGTGGTCCAGAAAAGTGCAGTTTCCACCGCGCAGAACCTTCAAGCTCCCTGGCCGAAAATAAATATAAAAATAATAATAATGATGATGATAATAATAATAATAATATTTTTTTTTTTAAATGAGGCAAGTCTTGTTTTTTGTTACCTGTTCTTGCAAGTCCTGGATTGGCAGGAATAATGTGTTGACCATTGGACCAGATACAGACCCCGACCACAGACCATCATCCTGAGACTTCCAGAGGAGGAGGCTGCACTAGGCGGCACGGTGGCTGAGTGGATAGCACTCTCGCCTCTCAGCAAGAAGGTCCTGGGTTCGAATCCCGGCCGGACCAGGGCCTTTCTGAGTGGAGTTTGCATGTTCTCCCCGTGTCTGCGTAGGTTTCCTCCGGGTACTCCGGTTTCCCCTACCACTAAAAATATGTACAATAGGTCTGGCATGCGCCTCCTGTTCGGCGACCCCGCTCCCATCTCTGTGTGGAGTGAGAGGACAAGTGCCCAAAAAATAACAATTGTAAACCGCTTTGTGACTCTGGTCTGTGAAAGGCGGTATATAAATAAAGCTTACTTACTTACTTACTTACTGTGGGTTCTCCTGATGAGAGCCTCCGAGAACATCAGCAGGTCTTCAGCATCAGAGACCACTATGAACCCATGGATGTACCGCACCAGTCGAGTGCAGGCTGCGCAAAGAGGCCCCTGAGAAAGTCCAGACATCAGGGCGACACAGTGGCCCCATGGTTAGAGCTGTCGCCTCTCAGCTTGCTCCACCTGTATCTGCGTGGGGTTCCTCCGTGTGCTCCGGTTTTACCTATCACTAAACACATGTGCTCTGGGGCTGGGGATGAAAAATAGCCTAGAGAGCTAATTCCGGTGGATTGCAGAATTAGCGATTCAAACAAATGAATAATTTATGTGAGACAGGCCTCTTCTCTGACAATGTTTAAAACCAGGTTAAAGACAGTTCTGTTTAGCTGTGTATACAACTGAGGGATTTTATACTTTTAACTTTCTTTTTAATGTCCTGTGATTATTTATGATTTTAATGCTTTCTTGTTTTGTTCAGCACTTTGAGTTGCCTTGTGTATGAATTGTGCTATATAAATAAACTTGCCTTGCCTTGCCTTGCCAATAAAATAAACAACAAGGTGTCCGAGAAAGCAGGCAGCGTCATGATGAGTGACTGAGTGTCTGTAACAAACTGAACACAACTCATGAATTAAACTGTTTGTTGACATATTACCCACAAGGCAGCACTTTTTTTTATCCCTTGTTGAGTCTCAAAAGAAAAGCCAACTCTCATTCTGGTGCGTGTATAACAGTATCTAAATTAATAAATATATTTTCATCTTTTTCCTCTGCCGTCGCAGTCCATCTCCAGTTTGAATGCCACACGGGCTTCTAATGAGAATCTGCGTGTTTACGTTTTGTGTTTTGAGGATCATCCACATTAATTATAATTTGACAGATCCAATTAAAACTGTGGGCCCATAATGATCTGATGAGGTTACTACCAAGGGAGGCGTCTCCAAACAAACAGCAGTAGTTTCATGTTAAGGTGTAGAAGCGGCTTTAAAAGGCTCGGAAAAGGCTGAAGCACAGGCCCATTCTCCTCAGCGTCACTCCCTCTGCCGTTCCCCAGTACCTCATAAAGCTCATAGACAATAATGATCTCACCATAGACTATAATGATCCCGCCATTTCATGGGGTATTACACTATAATGATGATAGTCCTCCACATTTGCATCCCATCCGCCCTTTAGCTGCCGAGCGATTCCTCCATCTTTACCTGGTGTGGGTAATTTATAGAGCAAAGCCGTGGCTGTGATGTGCTGGAATAACACAAGCCACGCCACAGTCATACACAGAGATTTATTACGCCGGCATAAACCAAAAAGCCAAACAAAATGGCGTTTCTAAAGCCAAGCAATGAAGACATCCAGGAAGAGACACCGATGACAGCACATAAAGGATGATAGGGCTGGAGACCTGGGAGGGAGGGGCTGGCGGAGGTGGGACAGGGGTGTGGTTCCGAAAAACGGTTTGGCTGGATATTGGAGTGTAAAGATGCTCTGGAGTCCTGTCTGTTTCCACAAAAAGACACAAGCAACAACACACAACAGACACACAATGACTGAAGGAGGAAAAAACAACAAGCTTGTGCGTATTTTACTCACAGAGTTAATGGGAATAAAATACCTCGGTGGATGAGTGCAGATGTGTTTGATACAAATAGTCATTTTCCTATTTGCTGCCTCATTGAGCATGATGAATGATGGGAGTCAGGGAGGCAGTGTGATGAATGGCAGCACCTTGGCTCCATTGCATGCCCTATTGATTCTCCTTCTTTATTACTCCTACAACCCAGCTGGCTGTGGCTGCCCTCCCCGCTCTCACTCGCACTGGAAGGGAGAAAGTGTGGTGCACTACTGTACGCGCACAGACCTGGGAAAACATGTACACGTGTGAGTGTTTCCGAGCTGTGGGAGTCTACGGCCAGAAAAATGAGTTTTCTGATTAGTAGATTAGAGACCATGAGTCTCTAACAGGGACTACTGAGGGAGCCGTTTCATTAACACCGCTCTCGGATGACAACAAGGGCACAGCCACAAATAAAGCAACTTTCAAAGTAGGAAGCCGTTGGGATTACTGTTAGTACAAAAACAAATTTGTGCATAGAATGCTTAACTTAAAAAACAAGAACTATGTATTAGTTGTGACAGTGCATCATCAATCTCTTGAAACTTTCCTATATTTTAAATATCAGCACATTGAAGAGCTATAGCAAGCAGTCTGGGATAAGTTACTTTGAGAAAGTAATTAGTAATGTACTTCTAACTGCTCACACTTAAGGTAACATTGTCCATGATCCTGCTGCATGTTGTTTGTTTAAACTGTTTTCTATAATCACTAATAAATATAATTATAAATCTTGTATTTAATTGTAACTGTGATCTAATTACAAGTGTTCTTAACGCAATGTGTAAACTCTACTCAGTTACTTAAAGAGGAATCTAAATACACTTTATGGATGGAGACGCAACATAAAAACAGGTTTGAAATGGTTAGCAGTGCTTCTAAGTGAATTTGTTCACTGTGACGCTGGCTCGTCGCACTTTTACATGTTTTATTTATTTTCTTCATGTACAAAAGATGAACAGCATGTAACACCATCTAAAGTCTTTATATACATACAACAAAATAATAGCTTGTACTTACTTTAATGATTTTAATACTTTTAAGGCAGATGAAAAAGGAGTTAAAAAGTCACAAGCGTATCATTTTCACTTCTCTGAGGCTCAGTGTTTAACTTTAAATGTTCTTCCTTATTGGACAAATACAAAGGTATTTTCTTTCCCCCATCAATCACACATGTGTGTCTAATGTATGGCTCACGTCAACATTAAGGCTGCAAACACCACTCTGTGTCCCTCAATGTCCCGAGTGACGCTTCCCGCTCTAAATTACAAATGTTTGAGAGGATGGAAGTTGCAGGACATAATGAAGCAGTGCGGCACACGGCGAGGTAATTACCCAACAGCACTCCTGCCGTCCGGCCGCTTCACCAGCACAAGATGAATAGCCAAAGTACAAGAGCAGTGACCCCACAAAAGTTTCATTTGCCATATCTATCTCCTGCTCCCAAACTGTGATTCTTAGAGGCTTGGAAAAGGTAATCATTGGGGGACAGTTTTGGTAGAGTGATAAATGGTGTGTGTGGCTTTGGTGCTCGCACATACAGTCATTTATCTCATGAAGAACGGGCTTCAGTGTAGGATGCTGGGGATGCAGAGCATGCTGAGCCTTATTGAGTCAGCAGGGCAGGCGGAGCACAACATAGTAACAGGAGGAGAGAGGGATGGACCTCTGCCCAGCGGACAGACTGCTTGGCTTTAAGACATGGAGCCGATCAATTTTCCTCTCCAGCCTATCAGTCATGTGCTCTCTCACTGTCCGTTTGTGCTGATGACACACTTTGGCTGCCCATCGGTCCATTTCCAGGCCAGCAGCACTGAGAGAAAGTCTGCTGTATTTGTCTTGAGTGTTTGTGTGCGTCAGTCAGAGCACACACCTGGGGTTTGTCCGAGTGGAGGAGGTGAGCAGAGGAGGCTGAGCAGCAGTCCCTCAGGTGAGATGCACTAAAGCTCTTCTCCCAGGCGTACCAGCCTGGTGGCAGGATCCAAGTCTTGTCAATGCATAATGCATTAGAGGCCTCCTTCTACTGACAGCCCCCTCTGCTGCTCTCCTCTCTAGCAGGCTGCCCGCTAATCAAAAACGACACATCCCAATGTCCAGACGCACACTTGCAGGCCCAAATACACACACACTGAAATATACTAATCAAAAAGTGTGTTTCCTGGAGGCTGACTCCCAAGAGAAATCCAGCTGGAAGAAATTGGAATAATTTATTAGCTTACAAGTTTTTGTTGACAGTTAGCCCAAGGCTATTTATCTCAGTAATAGAGAATGTCTCCAATGTGGCAAAATTGACCAAATCAAACAGCTTTGATCAGAAAATGAATCTGGCAAGGCTGTCTGTCTCTCATGGTCCCAGGAGGCAGTGAGAAACAAACAAAACTGTGACATAGAATGAGAGGAAAAAAATAAATAATTTAAGTTCCCATTTAAGAGAGGAATCTGAGATAAACTCAATCTCCATGTGGGATTTCTACATATGATTATTACCTGACAAATACACGGATGATTCTCTTGAAGCTTTTCGTAAAAAATCATCTTACAATCACAACACGTCAAAACCATTGAGCAACTTCAATTGAGATTATTTCTAGAGCACGATTGTACTGTCCTAACATAGCTCCTCAGGCCCCTGTGCCATCCGCTCCGGTGCCAGCTGCTCATGCCCCTAGTGACCCATCAAACGCCGCGCTCTCTGGGTTGCATGAGCTAACCACCTTTGCAGAGGATTGATCAGTTTCACTTTTTCAGGAGAAGGAACATTATATTGGTCTCTGCATTTCCAAAGCATCGCCACAATCGCGGCCCAGTCCCAGGCTCTAAGCACCAAAGCAGTCGTATCATCTCGGTTCAACACCTTCTCCTTTTGTATCATATGTATACAGCAGGTTGTAGGGAAACACTGACAAAACAGTGTCAAGCAGTAAAGAACATTATGGTGACATGTTAAGGCCATAGGAACCAACTGGGACCCTGAGGAGCATAGGGACTGGCCTCCTGCTGGGATTCTGAGGAGCACAGGGACTGGCCTCCTGCTGGGACTCTGAGGAGCACAGGGACTGGCCTCCTGCTGGGATTCTGAGGAGCACGGGGACTGGCCTCCTGCTGGTGCCCAGACTGAGGACTAAACATGGGGAGGCAGTATTTCAGATTCATCCTGCTAAAATCTGGAAGAGTCTCTCAGAAAATGTGAGACAGACTGTATATTCACTTTTTTCATGTCCTGTGATTATCTATGATTGGAATTCCTTAATTTATTCATGTATTAATTTTTTTCAGGCAGTGGCACAGATATGTACAAGGTAGACAAATACAGTCAGGTCATATAGGGCAAAACAATAAGGACAAATGTAAACATGATAGCTAATTCTGCCTGAAAAAAGTAGGATTGGATTGGATTTGAGTTGCCTTGTGTATGAACCGTGCCATACAAACAAACTTGCCTCGCCTTGGGATACTCTCAGACTTCACACATATCATTTCCAGCATATAGTTCACCGTCCACCGCCGTCACTCGCCGTCACTCGCCGTCACTCGCCGTCAGCGACAAAGACACTGAGGCTTGCTGTAAAACATGGCGTCGACATGATCCCCAGACTTGCCTCTCACTCTGAGGGACACATTCATTTATCCGCTGCTTGACAGACAGTTCAAAGGGTCATCGGGCTGACACCAAAACTGAGGGACAGTAACACGCCACCATCATCTCAATTAGCACAGACGCCTTTAGGACACAGGCGTCAAGCTGCGTCTCTTTGGGTTTAATGCATGTCCGTCCTCAGCAACATGGAGGACGACAAGGGAACGAAGTTTACACGTCCGCACCGTAGAGAAGAACGGTTGGATGGGAGCTGGCAATTTCTCTATAAACGGCATCAGCATTTATCCTCCATAAACTTCCCCAACACCTGTTCATGATCCTTGTCCTTTCAAATCTGTTACACTGCAAAAACAGATGATAAATAAGTAGAAAGAATTGCTCAAATATGGCAAAATGTATCTTAATTTGAGCACATGTTGACTGCCTTAAAACAAGATTTGCCAATGGGACAAAGCAATGATCTTGTTTTAAAAATATTCAAGAGATGTCTCCCTTGGAATGAGAAAATAAAGCAACAGGTCTTGAAATAAGAACTGTAAGAAATGTATGGCTTTGTCCCATTCGCAAATCTCTCCGACCCCTCCGACCACCACCAACCATTCACACACACACCAGACTCATTCTCTAGTTTAGTTTAGTTAATTGAACGCCCTTTGAGATGTGCCATGTTGTTTTCGAGGGGGTCCAACACTAGGAATTTGTAACTTACACCCAACACTGATTACTCAAACTACAAAAGAAGTGTCAAAATCATGAAACGTGCAAAAAGCTCAGTCCAGACCAGTTCATTTTGAATGTTGTTGAATGACGGAAACATGGAGGAAAACCAGGCCACAAAGTTTACACCGCGCACTGTAGAAAAGAACGGTTGGATGGGAGCTGACAATTTCTCGATATACGGCAGCAACATTGACCCGCCGTCGCCTCCTCCAACACCTGTTCTGATCCTTGTCCTCTCCAATCTGTTAAAAAACTGCTCAAATATGGCAAAATGTATCTTCATTTGAGCACATGTTGACTGCCTTAAACAAGATTTGCCAATGGGACAAAGCAAACAATCTTGTTTTAAAAAGATGCAAGAAATGTTTCCCTTGGAATGAGGAAATAAAGCAACAGTTCATGAAATAAGATTAAACGGTTTTGTTCCATGAGTAAATCTTGTTTTTTGGGTTTTTTTAAGTTTAGGAACCTAACTTTATTTATTATTTATTTTGAGAAAGTAAGTGGGGATAGAAAAAATTAATCACAAGCAACTTAGGCACATTTACAAAATATCACAAAAAGAGTAAATGATACGAACATAACACATATGGATGCTCAAAAAGGAGGATTTTAACACAGTCATAATGTTTTTATCGGAATTTTAGTGACAGTCAAAATAATATAAAAACCACTACATTCAAGCTATTTTACCTCATAAATTAGTAGTTTTTGCAGTGTACTCAGTTACTTATAAAGACATTTAAATACAGTAACTTTGGAATTTGTAACTTACACCCAACACTGATTACTCTATGATCTCCGTGTCACAAAAGAAGGTTTACACGTCCGCACCGTGGAGAAGAACGGTTGGATGCGAGTTGACAATTTCTCTATAAACGGCATCAACATTGACCCGCCGTCGCCTCCTCCAACACCTGTTCTGCTCCTTGTCCTCTCCAATCTATCCGCCTAATGAATTTTTACCTGGCGCAGACTGTTTAAAACTCCATTTGGAACAGTGCCTACAATTACCTCCTCTGAGTCTCCAAAGTAACTATGCACAGCCTAATTAGTATGCATTATCAATTAACAAACTTAATAGCTGGCAGATTGATTGGATCCTCTGTAGAAAGGGCCAGAGCTGAAGCGAAGCAAAATGAAAAATCTTCTTCCAGCACACTTTCCGGTTCTGATGGATTTAGTTAGAGGCAGAAAACTTAGTCGTGAAATGTGTTTGTTATAACAATGTAATGTGGCGTCTGTTTTCTGTGTCTCTGATCTGGGGTAAAAAAAACAAAAAAAAGATTATAAGAAACATCGACAGACACACAACAGGTAAAAACAAGATTATTAGAAACATCGACAGACACACAACAAAACTGACATTCAAGATTGTTTTTATGTGTCACATTTTTAAGTCAAAATCAGTCAGTTGGAGGTTTTGTCACTATCTCCAAACACGGCACCAAAGCTCTGTTAAAAATGTTAAATATAACCGGCTAATAATTCACTTTTATGACCATGCCCATGCAAAGTTTGAATTTCCATCCATCCATCCATTTTCTACCCTTTAATCCATTTCTGGGTCAGGGGGGTGGCAATCAGAGATGCCACCCATAGCACCAGCCCCTCACTGACCCTTTGCAGGTGGTGAGTCCACAGGAGGACGGCTGCTCTCTGAGTGTGAGCATAGCCTTGATCTTTCAGTGGGGGCTTTGGGCAAAGTTGGGTTAAGTGTCTTGCCCAAGGACACAACGACAGCAGTCATCAGTGGGAGTCGGTGGAGAAGGTGTCGAGGTGGGAATTGAACCCACGACCTTCAGGCCTTAAGGCCAATGCTCTACCAACTGAGCTACTGTCGCCCAAGTTTGAATTTAAGATATGATAATATCAACTTTATTGATCCCAAAGGAAATGTCAGTGGTGCCGGCTGCTCTCGTTCACACAGTCACAGGTACTATATAAATTAGTTGCTAAAATGCAATCTTTATTTATACCTCGCCTTTCACAGACTAGAATCACAAAGCGCTTTACAACTGTTTTCTTTTTTTTTTGTCTCTCACTCCAAACAGAAGAGATGGGAGTGAGGTTGCCATAAAAGAGGTGCATGCCAGACCTAAACGTCTTCTGTGGTAGGGGAAACCCGGAACACCTGGATAAAACCTACGCAGATGATAATGATAAAAACAATATATCGGTTTTATATAGCGCTTTTTTTGACACTCAAAGACGCTTCACATGTCATTATTCTTTCACTCCACACACAGTGGTGATAAACTACTACTGTAGCCGGAGCTGCCCTGGGGCAAATTGACAAAAGTGAGGCAACCAGTATGTGCCATCGGCCCCTCCGACGACCACCACCAACCAATCACACACACACCAGACTCATTCTAGGCAATAGGGGTGAAGTGTCTTGCCTAAGGACACAACAGCAGTTTGGCACTTTACAGCCGCAGCCGCCCCACTGTGGCACCTGCTGTTCCCAGAGGTTAAGTGTCTTGCCCAAGGACACAACAACAGCAGACAGTGGGAGTCGGTGTGGGCCAATGCTCTACCAACTGAGCCACTGTCGCCCAAGAGAACAGATGTGGGGAGAACATGAAAAATCCACTCAGAGAGGTCCTGTTCCGACCGGTATTCGAACCCAGGACCTTCTTGCTGGGTCAAAGTGTTGTGCTTTGTTAAATTGAAGAAAGGTTCATCAGCTCTTTACGGCTTAACAAGAATGAATAACAAATGGACAAAACATCAAATTATTTCTACCTGTAATACTTACTCCAAGCTGCGTACACATTTTTGCCTTTCAACAAAATGTGCCGCTACTTTTTGATCCAAGAAAGTGGCTTCTCTCTGACCGTTTCTGCCGACAACAGTCACATTTCCCGCTTCAGAATCCTGCCACAAGGTTATGGAGGAGGGCTCAGCATCATATGGCAGCCCTAACGTGGCACATTTGTTTACATTACCGGCCCTGGTGTACCCTGCTTGGTAAACATGAGCTGCGACAGTGAGGAGCTCCCGCAGTAATTTGGTATTAGGAGCATTATAAGCAAAGGCTGATGATGTGGGCCAAGGTAATAAGACAGATGCAAAAGAGGGCCCCTCCTCCACAGAAGCATGAAGCCAAGAGAGAAAAAAGCCAGGTTTGGATCAAAGAAAGTGTGCGTTTTGTGGACGGTGGTGTTGAATATTGCTGAGATAAGATTGTGCATTTGTGGTTTATCTAATGAATCCTTTTTGTAATGTTCTGTTGGGGAAGGCGGGATTGTATGTGGCTATTCGTTTAGGAGAAGGATCAGGGGATGGTTCAGTCCGGAGCCTGGGCTGTGAGGTTTTTTCATTTTTTTTTTTTTTCAGGCAACACAAGAGAAACAGCATAAAGAAACATACCTATAATATACCTAAATATAATAATAATAATAGTGATAATAATATTGCATAAAATGGAATCGGAAGAAGAACACTTTTTTAATCTCACCCCATTTTCCAGTTACACATTATAGCTTCTGTTTGATTGAATTACTAACAATAATAATAATAATAATATCTTACTTTTTTTTTTTAGACGCTTTAAAAAAGTTGCAAAAAAAATACAAAATGTATACATAAATACATAAGTAAACAGTTAAATGTAGGCAGTTTTGAAGGTTTGGAGGATAGTAGCATCAGTATCATTTCTAAATCAAAGCCAATTCAGTTTATTTTTGTATGGTCCTAACTCACTACAGCAGCCGTCTGTTCACGAGGAGGACTTTACAAGTGGTTGATTTGCCAACAACAGATCAGAGAATCAAACCGTTATTATCATTACAGGATATGCTATAATAATAACAAACACAAATAGGAGACATTGGTCCATTTGGGTTGAGAAAATCCATTCACCAAAATAAAGTAAAAGACATTTTCAAAAAAAAAAGCGTTGATTATTTTGCCATTTGCCAAAGTTGAGAGAGAGAAGCTCAAACCAAAGAGAGGTTTTCTGATATTTATGTTTGCAAGAATTTACTACAAATCAGGTAAGTCCAGAAACTCCATCTCATTTGAACATTTAACATATTATTTGCCTGGATGTCTCAAAAATCTGTACCAGTCAACAAATCAGATCTGTTAGCAAAAAATGATAAGAACCATTAGAAAAACATTTGAAAGCGTTTACAAATACCAAGGTGTTTATTGAAAAAGCCAGATCGATGTTAGTGCCATACAAATACAGTTCATCCCATTCTTGAGCAAAATATTTCACATTTACTGCTCATAACAAAATACGTTTGTAGCTATAGAGGAATTCAACTTTTGGCCTTTTCTTTGCAAATTAGCTTTTCAGTTGTGTATTCTTCAGATCTGTGATAAAGGATACATACATTGTCAATAATATCAAGCCATAATCAAACACATGTCATTGATAGTTTGATTAAAGATGTCATTATGTGTATTATCTCCTTTTCAAACTGGTTATAAATGAGGATTAATACCATAGATACGCTCATACCTTCACAGTATTACAAGCCACTCAGTGTATCACATACAAGTCTGGCTTTCTTTATTATTTGACTGTGACAATAGCTATTTCACTGCAGTCACGGTAGAAATCAGTCTTTATTTGCGCTCTAATGCCCGGGTAACATTCATAAACGTACCTCCCAAACGTGTTTGACAGGGTCGTTTTCGATGCAAATTGGCCTGTGCGTCCTGAGCCGGGAGCGCTGTCCGTGGTGCTGAAATGAGCGCTGCATTGATTTTCTTTTTAATCAAACCAAATGTTTTCACCTGATTCCGGCGCTCTGATTAAAGGGACTCGTTTATTTACATAAATATCAATAAAAACACATTATGACAATTACTTGCCCTATTGGTCACAAACTTTATACCCCCGAAAAAGTACTTTATTTTCATTAAACGCCATGAAATGCAGTGATTAACGCACTAATTATGGCCACTATAAACAATTAGTTTGGTTCACTTTTCCTGTAATAGGTCAATGTTTTTATAGAAGCAACAGCGCGGGGAAACAAATGCGGACACAATATAGGGCAAAAAGGCTGTGGATTCCTGCAGCACGAGCGGACAAGTAACGTAATGTTTGATCTTTGCGGACCGCTGCTTCTTTTGGGGGAGAAAAATGTCCTCTCAGCAAACAGGCTCTAGAGTCCAGTGGAGACGAGGAGGAAAAAAACAACAGCAATCCATTACCTGCCACAAACACCAGTTGTCCAAATAGTTCATAGCGCAGTAACACGTCGCAGCAGAAAAAAAAAAGTGCTGTAAATGCAGGGAAGCAGCGAAATGGGGGAGTCACATGCAATAAGCGTCACTTTTGTTGCTTGTGTGGGGGGGACACTGGTCTCTCTGGCCCGGGACATTCACAGCAGGAACAGAAAGAACGAGTAAAGGAAGATTGGATTTTGTTATACCCCAAAACTTTTGTCTTTCTCGTCTCAAGTCCAGTGACGCTATAATTATCCATAATGGAACTAGTATTTCTGAAAGTGTTGAAAATGTCAGTTTCATCATCACTGTTAATATTTGAACCCACAGAGCTAAGGACATTACTTAAGGACTGAAAAAACCTCCACTGCCATTTCCTCTCTTTCGTTTTTTGTACATAATTTTTTCCTGCACAGACTATATTTTTAACCTTTAACACTTCTGTCTTTTGCATAATCTGAGTGACTCTATATCTGCCAAATGTGACGGATACATTTCTCCAATGTAAGATCAATAATCTATCTTATCTTATTCTTGATCTGTATCTACAGACACACATATAGATACATGTTTATTTGCACTGTAGTGTATTCAGAATCAGAATCCTTTTATTTCCATGTGAGTAACAAGAAGTCAAAACTAGGAAATTGCTTTGACTCTCTGTGCCAAGTTAAAGCAGATTAAAATCAAAGGCATTACAGATTTACAGATGTAAACATAGACACATATATGTCTTTGCACGACAGTATACAGGTTTTTATCTCA